TTCAACATTCATCACTTCAACATTCATCACTTCAACATTCATCACTTCAACATTTATTAGGTATATTAGATTTTAGTATGAACTTCGTGACTAAATCGACAGACACGAATTCGTCCGAGAACACCGTCAATACAGTCCAGCTCGACGTTCCCGCACCCGTTACTTGGCTACAGGCACATAAGCGACGGCTCAAGTTTCAACATTATCGTCGTGAATATTTAGTCGATGGGAGGACGGTTCAACGGCGTGCCAGTGGCCGAATGTGACGGTGGCGGTGGTGTATCTCGCGATGGGTCACGCTGCGTCAATCGAGATACTTCGGCGGCTCGGATACGTTGGGGAGGTGAAAGACTGAGGGGTGTACGCGCGGTGGGTTAGGCAACGACATGTGCGGCGTCGACGGGGGGAGTGGATAAGTAATGATATAGTGGTAGTGATTGAGATAATACTCTATATATTTAGGATAGATGAATAGCGTGTGACTCGAGATCATCATGAGATTTATTTATTCGACATCAAGACCGTCGATTCGGGCTCGACGAGGGAGATTGAACCGCGAGAGAGACGAGCATGATTGTGTCTCTCGCTCATTAGTCTCTGAGATCGGTATAGATGAGGGCGACTATACTCTCTGATTTTATCATTCTTGTATGACGAAACTCGAAAAACTATTTATAGGAAGATTGCTGTAGAAAGAGTATTTAGAGGAAGAGTGTTTAGAGAAAGAGTGTTTAGAGGAAGAGTGTTTAGAGAAAGAGTGTTTAGAGAAAGACTATCATAGGAAGACTGTCGTAGAAAGACTGTCGTAGGAAGATTGTCATAGGAAGACTGTTATCGATGAAGACTCACGTTAACGAAGTTTAGTGAACAGTCGAGAGAATTCTCGAGCGAGGATCAGTGGATAGCATAGCTTGGGGAGGAGGTAGAATTATTTGGGGACCGTGGGATTCAAGCGGCTTGGATAATGGATCTCGTACTCGAGCAGCTTGAACAGGGAAAGGGTTAGGGTTTATCATTAATGATAATCGAGTTAGGGTCAGGGTTTATAGTTAATAATAATCGAGAGAGTCAGGGTTCGTAAATAAACCGAGTGCCAGGAGGGTTAGGGTTCGTGATTAATTCATTTATTCAGTATTCATCAGCTCAATATTCGTCAAATATATTGAATTTCAGTATAGACTTAATAACTAAATCTCTAGTTACTTCAACAATCGTTCGTTCAACAATCGTCAGTTCAACAATCGTTCGTTCAACAATCGTCAGTTCAACAATCGTCAGTTCAACAATCGTCAGTTCAACAATCGTCAGTTCAACAATCGTCAGTTCAACAATCGTCAGTTCAACAATCATCAGTTCAACA